TGGATATTAGACCTCTGTCAAATACAGGGTTGGTGAAGATCCTTTCCCAGTCTGTAGGTTGTTGTTTTGATGTGACGACAGTGTCCTTTGCTTTACAGAAGTTTTTCAGTTTCATGAAGTCCCATTTATTGATTGTTGATCTTAGAGCCTGTGCTGTTGGTGTTCTGTTCAGAAAGTTGTCTCCTGTGCCAATGAGTTCTAGGTTCTTCCCCACTTTTTCTTCTAACTGATTTAATGTGTCTGGTTTTATGCTGAGGTCTTTGATCCACTTATACTTTAGTTTTGTGCAGGGTAAAAAAATATGGATGTATTTGCATTTTTCTGCAGGTAGACATCCAGTTAGACCAGCACCATTTGTTGAAGATGCTGTTTTTTTTTTTCATTGAATGGTTTTGGCTTCTTTGTCAAAAATCAAGTATTCATAGGTTTGTAAATTTATTTCTGGGTCTTCTATTCAGTTCCGTTGATCCACCATTCTGTTTCTGTGCCAATATCATGTACTTTTTATTGCTATTGTTCTATACTACAGTTTGAGATTAAGAATAGAGATACCTCCAGATGATCTGTTGTTGTACAAGATCATTTTGGCAATCTTGGGTTTTGTTTTTTTGTTTTTTGGGGTTTTTTTTTTTTTTTTTTTTGGTTTTTCCTTATGAAATTGAGAATTGTTCTTTCAAGGTCTGTAAAGAATTGTGTTGGTATTTTGATGGGAATTGCATTGAATCTGTAGATTCCTTTTGGCAGGATGGCCATTTTCGTTATGTTAATCATATTTGGGGCATAGATGTTTATAATTGTGTTGTCCTCCTGGTGGATTTTTCCTTTGATGAGAATGAAGTGCTCCTCCTCATCTTTTTTTGATTAATTTTGGTTGAAAGACTTTTTTATCAGATATTAGGATAGCTACCCCAGCTTGTTCTCTGGGTCCTTTGCTTGAAAAAACTTTTTCCAGCCCTTTACTCTGTGGTAGTGTATATCTTTGTTGCAGAGGTGTGTTTATGGGATGCAGCAGAATGTTGGATGCTGTTTCTGCAACCATTCTGTTAGTCTGTCTTTTTATTGGAGAGTTGAGTCCATTGATGTTGATAGATAATAGTGACCAATGAATGTTAGTTCCTTTTATTGTGGAGTTGGTGGTGTTGCTGTATTTCAATGCTTTCTTTCTTTTAAATTTTTGTTGTGAAGTTATCTATATCCTATATTTTTTTGGGTGTAGTTATGTTCGTTGGATTGGAGTTTTCCTTCTAGTATTTTCTATAGGAGTGGGCTGCTAGGTGGATATTGTTTAAATTTAGTTTTGTCATGGAATATTTTGCTTTCTCCATCTATGTTGATTGAAAGATTTGCTGGGTAGAATAGTCTGAGTTGGCATCTGTGGTCCTTTAAAGTCTGCATGATATCTGCCCAGGCCCTTCTGGCTTTCATAGTTTCTGTTGAGAGTTCCGGTGTGATTCTGACAGGTCTACCTTTATACGTCACTTGGCCTTTTTCCCTTGCTATTTTTAATATTCTTTCTTTGTTCTGTAGATTAACTGTTTTGACTATGATGAGATGGGAGGAGTTCCTTTTCTGGTCTAGTCTATTTGGTGTTCTATATGCCTCTTGTGTGTTTATGGATATCTCTTTCTTTAAGTTGGAAAAATTTTTTCTATGATTTTCTTGAAAATATTTTCCGAGATGAAGGAGGAAAGGTGGGATTGGGAGGGAATGAGGAAGGTGGTTACAGCTGGGATACAAAGTGAATAAACTGTAATTAATATAAAAAATAAAATTTAAAAAAAGAAGACCCTCATCAGATCACATTGTATGTTCACACTCAATTTCTCTTTCAAGGAGAACTGATTACTGAACACATAATCAGATTACTGAACACATAATGATTGCTTTATATAATTTCTTTGAGAATTAACTAAATGATGAGAGAATCAATACATGTGTCAAGCATTTGCTGGGTCTATTACACATGCTAAAAGGATAGTGATCAAAATCAAGTGGCTGAAAAATAAAAACAAAGTGGCTGTACTAAAAAAAAAAAAAAAGAAAAAGAAAATATTTTCTGGACCTTGGAGCCTGGAATCTTCTTTTTCATCTATTCCTATTATTCTTAGGTTTTGTCTTTTCATGGCATCCTTGATTTTTTGGATGTTTTGTGTCTGGGACTTTTCTGATTTTACTTTTTCTTTGAGAGAAATATCAGTTTCTGCAAGTGTATCTTCAGCATCCAAGGTTCTCTCTTCCATCTCTTGTATTCTATTGGTGATGATTACCTTTGTGCTTCCTGATCTTTTCTCTAAGTTCTTCAGCTCCAGGTTTTCCTCTGTGTTTTCTTTATTGATTCTAATTCTGTTTTCATGCCTTGCACCATTTCCTTCAACTGTTTGAATGTGGATTCCTCTCTTTCTATGATGACTTCTATTTTTTTGTTTGTTTCCTCTCTATATACCACTAATTGTGCCTCTACTTATGCCTCTATTTGTTTGGCTGTATTTTCCTACATTTCTTTGTTCGGTTCCTCTTTATTTGCCTCAACTTATGTGGCTATTTCTCTGAGAGATTTTTTGTTGTTGTTGTTTCTTCTTTATGTGCCTCTAATAACTGGATAAGCATAGCTTTAAAGTCATTTTCCTGTGTTTCCGATGAATTGAGGTATTCATTGATTTGGGGGGTTGCTGGTGAAGCCATGATATCCTGATTTTTGTCGGGTGTGTTCTTAAGCCAACCTCTGGCCATCTGCTTATCTGTAACGTTCACTGTATGTTCCTGGAGTTTGTACTTCAGACTGGGTCCGTCTTTCTCTGGTGTCTGGAGTAGTCTTCAGGAAGATGGGAGAGTTTGAGAGTGTGTGTTGGTGTTTCAGCTGTAATTAAGGGAGAAAAGTCGTGATGACACATGCAAGCGTGTGTGTGTGTGTGTGTGTGTGTGTGTGTGTGTGTGTGTGTGTGTG